CTTCGTGCCTACACGATTGGCCAAAAGGTAGACTTAAACTGTGATTACTGTGTGTGTATTTACCTCTGCTGGGGCCGCTGTGACAACAATACAGAGACAGAAACACGGTGTGAATGCCGTGCTGTAGTTCGCTGTTTCCAGTGGTGTCTGCTAGGTTAATGTGCAAGGCTAATGTGCTAGGCTAATGCTGCTAGGCTCATGCTAGGCTAATGCTGCTGAATGCCGGTTTGTTTTGGTCCTTTCTGCTGGCGTCAGAGCCTGCGCAATTTGATGACATAATGACCTATTGCAATATGCCGGTATAACAAAAATCTCTACCGTGGGCCCAATTTATATCGCATACCGCTTATACCGTTTATATCGCCCAGCCCTAGAATCACAGACTGTCTGTATCGTGATATGTTAGAATCACAGACTGTATCGTGATATGTTAGAATAACAGACTGTCTGTATCGTGATATGTCAGAATCACATACTGTCTGAGAGAGAGAGAGCAAGATGGCGCCGGGTCAGGGCGCCTCAGTAAGAGCTCTGGTGTGCACTGTCTGTTCTATGTTGTTTATATTCGTCTGTGATACACTTGCCACCGTGAAGTACGACCGGGAGACACTTCTCTACATTCGGGACCGAGCTTGTGGAGTATCGCAGGTCTTACCCGAACTGAGGTGCGTGGACTTTATTGAGTGCCCCACTCGTGAGGCCCGTCAAACATGGCAGGCGGGCCGCGGCAATGGCCGCGAACAGAGCGGGGGGACTGGGCGTCTCCACCGTGCTCTCCGCGGTGTGGAGCTGGGTACCGGGAGCCGACGTAGGAGGCGCAGACACCGGGGAAAACGAGGCGGTCTGCTCGTGAGATGCCGCTCCTGCAGGACCGCTCTGCCCACCATCTACCTGGCCAACGTCCAGTCTCTGCCCAATAAGACGGACGAGCTCCTGTGTCGTATCCAGAGCCAGCGCGAGGCCCGAGACTGCGCTGTGTTCTGTCTCAGCGAGACGTGGCTCCAGACGAACGTCCCGGACTCTGCTGTTCAGCCCCCGGGATTCACCGTTCACCGCGCGGACAGAGATAAGGAGACCACGGGGAAATCCAGAGGCGGAGGTGTGTGCTTTTTAATTAATCAGCGCTGGTGCACGGACACTCGCATCGTGAACCAAACATGTACTGCCAATCTGGAATGCCTGGTCTTGAGCTGTCGCCCTTTTTATCTTCCGCGGGAGTTTTCTGTGATATTTTTATGCGCTGTTTACATCCACCCACGAGCGGACTATACTGTAGCACTACAGGATCTGAGCGAGATCCTTCATAAATACGAGACTGCTCATCCTATTGCAGTGATTATTGTCGCTGGGGATTTTAACAAATGTAATTTAAAGACTGTACTCCCAAATTTCTACCAACATGTGACTCAAGCTACAAGAGGAGCACATGTTCTGGATCACTGCTACAGCAATGTGAAGGGAGCTTACAGGTCCAGTCTCAGACCTCCTTTTGGAAAGTCTGACCACTCCTCTGTTCTCCTTCTTCCTTCATACACTCAGAGGAGCAGGGAACATAAACCAACCTCACGCACTGTGCAGTGTTGGTCCGAGGAGGCTAGCATGAAGCTACAAGGGTGTTTTGATGCCACTGACTGGTCTGTGTTTCAGTCAGAGGATGTTAATGAATTCTGTGACGCTGTGTCTGGATACATACGCTTCTGTATTGACTGCTGTGTCCCACAGAAGGTCATTAAAGTACATCTCAGTCAAAACCCTTGGATGAACGCGGAAGTGAAACTGAAACTTCATGAGCGTGCGTTGGCGTTTCAATCTAACGATACAGTTGCCTATAAGCTATCCTGTTACTCATTGAAACGTTCTATTAAATCTGCAAAGCGCAGTTACGGGGACAGGTTAAAGGGTTATTTTAAGGAAGATGACCCTCGGCGCATGTGGAGCGGTATTAAAGCCATCACGTCCTGGAAACCTAGTGCTGGGAAAATCGGATCTGTCGGCCAAGCTCTGCCAAATGAGCTGAACTCGTTCTACTGCCGCTTCGAATCTGCTGATGCCTGTCCTACTGTCTTTCCTGAGTGTTTCAATCAAGGTGCGTTCACCGTGACTCAGGAGGTAGTCCAGCGGGTCTTGTCCAGCACCATTGTCCGGAAAGCCCCTGGCCCGGACGGCATCCCTCCTCGTGTCCTGAAACTGTGCTCTGAGCAACTTGCTCCTGTGCTAACAGACATTTTTAACCTGTCGCTAAGGAACTGTACTGTGCCGAACTGCTTTAAAGAGTCCACCATCATTCCAGTTCCTAAGAAAACTCCTGTGACATGCCTGAATGACTATCGCCCTGTGGCCCTCACGTCTGTTCTTATGAAAACTTTTGAGCGGCTTGTGCTGGACTTCATTAAGAGCCAGATCCCTGTGAGTGTTGACCCGCTCCAGTTTGCTACAGACAGAACAGGAGTGTGGAGGATGCCATCTCCTTTGCTCTGAACTCTGTCTACAGTCACTTGGACAATAGGAAATCTGTTGCAAGAATGCTGTTCATTGACTATAGCTCTGCTTTTAATTGTCTTGTCCCAGGTAAACTGATTGAAAAGCTCATGTCTCTCGGCTTAAGTGTTGCCAAGTGTAAATGGATCTATAGCTTTTTAACAGACAGATCTCAGAGAGTGAAAATCAATGACTGTTTTTCAGATGTTGTTTCTGTGAGCACTGGATCTCCTCAGGGATGTATTTTGAGTCCTTTACTTTTTACACTGTACACTCATGATTGTGTGTCTTCCTCAGACTCAAACTTGATCATCAAATATGCTGATGACACCACCATCATCGGTCTCATCAGTAATAACGATGAATCGTCTTATAGAGCCGAGATCCAAAACGTGGTTCAGTGGAGTAAGGCTAACAACCTCCAGCTGAACGCATCCAAAACATGTGAACTGGTCTTTGATTTCAGTCGCAATAGTTCTCATTTGCCTGTCGCAATCGATAACTCCCAAGTGCAGATTGTAGAGGAGTGTAAGTTTCTGGGTCTAACTCTGTCTAATGACCTGAAATGGGTTAAAAACACTGACCGGGTCGTAAAGAAAGCTCGTCAGCGTCTCTACTTCCTGCGGAAACTTAGAGAATTTACCACTAACTCTAAGATTCTGCTGAACTTTTATGGCTGCACCATTGAGAGTTTACTTGTTGGTTCTGTGTCTGTGTGGTTCGGTAACATCACAGATAAAGAAAAGAGAGCTTTAAACAAGGTGCTCTGCTCTGCTAAGAGGACTGTAGGCTGTGAACTTCCTGTCCTGGAGGCTCTTTATCAATCCAGACTTTTTAACAGTGCCCTGAGAATTATCAATGACTCTTCTGGCCACCCAGGAAAAGCCTTGTTCCAGCTTCTTCCCTCTGGCAGAAGATACTGTTCTCTGAGATGCATGACATCTCGTTATGCTAATAGTTTTTTTCCACGAGCTGTTATCAGTTTGAATAGAGCACTTTAATGTTTTTGCACTTGTATAGATCTGTTTTAGTTGGTCGACTTCACAGTGACATTTGTTTACTGTTTTTAAAATTTGTTTTATTTTTGTCTTTTAATGTTGTTTTGTGTCTGTACTTGTCCTGTGCACACTGGGAACTTTTACAAATGTATTCCAATGTAGTGTTACTGCAAATGGCGAAATAAATGAATCTGAATCTGTATCGTGATATGTTAGAATCACAGACTGTATCGTGATATGTCAGAATCACATACTGTCTGTATCGTGATATGTTAGAATCACAGACTGTCTGTAATGTGATATGTCAGAATCACATACTGTCTGTATTGTGATATGTTAGAATCACATACTGTCTGTATCGTGACATGTTAGAATCACAGACTGTCTGTATCGTGATATGTCAGAATCACATACTGTCTGTATCGTGATATGTTAGAATCACAGACTGTCTGTATCGTGATATGTTAGAATCACATACTGTCTGTATCGTGATATGTTAGAATCACAGACTGTCTGTATCGTGATATGTTAGAATCACAGACTGTCTGTATCGTGATATGTTAGAATCACATACTGTCTGTATTGTGATATGTTAGAATCACAGACTGTCTGTATCGTGATATGTTAGAATCACAGACTGTCTGTATCGTGATATGTTAGAATCACAGACTGTCTGTATCGTGATATGTTAGAATCACAGACTGTCTGTACTGTGATATGTTAGAATCACAGACTGTCTGTATCGTGATATGTTAGAATCACAGACTGTCTGTATCGTGATATGTTAGAATCACATACTGTCTGTATCGTGATATGTTAGAATCACAGACTGTCTGTATCGTGATATGTTAGAATCACAGACTGTCTGTATCGTGATATGTTAGAATCACAGACTGTCTGTATCGTGATATGTCAGAATCACAGACTGTCTGTATCGTGATATGTCAGAATCACATACTGTCTGTATCGTGATATGTTAGAATCACAGACTGTCTGTATCGTGATATGTTAGAATCACATACTGTCTGTATCGTGATATGTTAGAATCACAGACTGTCTGTATCGTGATATGTTAGAATCACAGACTGTCTGTATCGTGATATGTTAGAATCACAGACTGTCTGTATCGTGATATGTTAGAATCACAGACTGTCTGTATCGTGATATGTTAGAATCACATACTGAGTGTTTCCCTCAGATTTGAAAGCAATGTGTGGCGGTGTGTATTGGGGGGGGGGTCAGACAGCTGTGAGCAGTCTGACCCCCCCCCGCGATTCTCCCTGCTGCTGTGTCTTCCCGCTCTCTCTCGTCTCCCCTGTTCTCTCTCTTGTCTAACGAACACAAGAAAAAGGCTTTTCCAACAAGTGACTGTCCCGGTGATGGCGGGAGGCATGATAATAACTTCTGTGAGAGGCATTATTTGCGGAGACTTTAGCAGAAGCTGGAGGTCGCGTTCCCAGCTTTAGTGTTTATGTGTTGAATATAGTAGATTTACCCAGAATGCCTCTGTGATGTTGGGAGCAGGACACGGAGGCGTACAGGGGCTCGGTGAAGGAGGACATGCTGCGGTGGCAGAACAGTCTCAGGACTCACGGATCCTCAGACTGGGTCATCATCCTGGTGGAAAACAACGACACCAGGAAGAAGAACAAGACCAACATCCTGCCACGGGCCTCCATCATCGACAAGATCCGCAGTGACTTCTGCAACAAGCAAAACGACAGGTACCAGAGAGAGACCAGAGAGAGACCAGAGAGAGACCAGAGAGAGACCAGAGAGAGACCAGAGAGAGAGAGACCAGAGAGAGAGAGACCAGAGAGAGAGAGACCAGAGAGAGAGAGACCAGAGAGAGAGAGAGAGAGACCGACCAGAGAGAGAGAGACCGACCAGAGAGAGAGAGACCAGAGTCCTGTGTGTCTTGTCTTTATACAGATGTTTAGTTCTCCTTCATCAGTATTATCTCTGTGTTGCAGGTGTGTGGTTCTATCGGAGCCTCTGAAGGACTCGTCGCGGTCTCAGGAGTCCTGGAGCTCTCTGCTCCTCAAGCTCCGCACGCTGCTGCTCATGTCCTTCACTAAGAACCTGGGGAAGTTTGAGGACGACATGAGGACGCTGAGGGAGAAGAGGACGCAGCCCGGCTGGAGCTTCTGCGACTACTTCATGGTCCAGGTACAGGCAACAGCACTGGACTCTTATTACCATGTATGTAGACCCAGGACTGAGGCTGTAGACCCAGGACTGAGGACTGAGACTGTAGACCCAGGACTGAGACTGTAGACCCAGGACTGAGGCTGCGGACCCAGGACTGAGGCTGCGGACCCAGGACTGGGTCTGCGGACCCAGGACCGGGTCTGCGGACCCAGGACCGGGTCTGCGGACCCAGGACCGGGTCTGCGGACCCAGGACCGGGTCTGCGGACCCAGGACCGGGTCTGCGGACCCAGGACCGGGACTGAGGCTGCGGACCCAGGACCAGGACTGAGGCTGCGGACCCAGGACCAGGACTGAGGCTGCGGACCCAGGACTGAGGCTGTAGATGTGTGTCATGTGTGTTCAGGAGGAGTTGGCCTTTGTGTTTGAGATGCTGCAGCAGTTTGAAGACGCTCTGGTCCAATACGATGAACTGGACGCTCTGTTCACACAATACGTGCTCAACTTTGGAGCTGGAGGTGAAGACTTTATCTGTCGCTGATTCTCTTCGGTTCAACATTTTTAATTATCTCTAGTTCTTTCGTCACTTGTTTTCAGCCTCTGTCACATAAGCAGAGAGAGACCAGAGAGAGAGAGACCAGAGAGAGAGAGAGACCAGAGAGAGAGAGAGAGACCAGAGAGAGGGAGAGAGACCAGAGAGAGGGAGAGAGACCAGAGAGAGAGAGAGAGACCAGAGAGAGAGAGAGAGAGACCAGAGAGAGAGAGAGACTAGAGAGAGACTAGAGAGAGAGAGAGAGAGACTAGAGAGACTAGAGAGAGAGAGAGAGACCAGAGAGAGAGAGAGAGAGAGAGAGAGACCAGAGAGAGAGAGAGACCAGAGAGAGAGAGAGAGAGAGACCAGAGAGAGAGAGAGACCAGAGAGAGAGAGAGACCAGAGAGAGAGAGAGACTAGAGAGAGAGAGACGAGAGACCAGAGAGAGAGAGAGAGACCAGAGAGAGAGAGAGACTCAATAAAAGTAGGTTGTTCGTATGTGTCAGAGTCGATGTCGGTCATAGATGAATCCCCGTCTCTCTCCAGACACGGCGAACTGGCTGGGTTCGTTCTGCGCCCCGGTGCGCTGTTGGAACGGCCTGTTGCTACGGCGACCGATCGACATGGAGAAACGTGAGCTGATCCAGCGTGGAGAGGCCAGTCTGCTGGACCTGCGCAGCTACCTGTTCTCCAGACAGTGCACTCTGCTCATCTTCCTGCAGAGGCCCTGGGAGGTCACTCAGAGAGCCCTGGAGCTGCTGCACAACTGTGTCCAGGAGCTGAGGCTGCTGGAGGTAAGAGGCCCAAGGCCAGAGAGTGGGAGGCCAGAGAGTGGGAGGCCAGAGAGTGGGAGGCCAGAGAGTGGGAGGCCAGAGAGTAAGAGGCCAGAGAGTAAGAGGCCAGAGAGTAAGAGGCCAGAGAGTAAGAGGCCAGAGAGTAAGAGGCCAGAGAGTAAGAGGCCAGAGAGTAAGAGGCCAGAGAGTAAGAGGCCAGAGAGTAAGAGGCCAGAGAGTAAGAGGCCAGAGAGTAAGAGGCCAGAGAGCAAGAGGCCAGAGAGCAAGAGGCCAGAGAGCAAGAGGCCAGAGAGCAAGAGGCCAGAGAGCGGGAGGCCAGAGAGTAAGAGGCCAGAGAGTAAGAGGCCAGAGAGTAAGAGGCCAGAGAGTGGGAGGCCAGAGAGTAAGAGGCCAGAGAGTAAGAGGCCAGAGAGTAAGAGGCCAGAGAGTAAGAGGCCAGAGAGTAAGAGGCCAGAGAGTAAGAGGCCAGAGAGCAAGAGGCCAGAGAGCAAGAGGCCAGAGAGCAAGAGGCCAGAGAGCAAGAGGCCAGAGAGTAAGAGGCCAGAGAGTAAGAGGCCAGAGAGTAAGAGGCCAGAGAGCAAGAGGCCAGAGAGTAAGAGGCCAGAGAGTAAGAGGCCAGAGAGCAAGAGGCCAGAGAGCAAGAGGCCAGAGAGCAAGAGGCCAGAGAGCAAGAGGCCAGAGAGCAAGAGGCCAGAGAGCAAGAGGCCAGAGAGTAAGAGGCCAGAGAGCGGGAGGCCAGAGAGTAAGAGGCCAGAGAGTAAGAGGCCAGAGAGTGGGAGGCCAGAGAGTAAGAGGCCAGAGAGTAAGAGGCCAGAGAGTAAGAGGCCAGAGAGTAAGAGGCCAGAGAGTAAGAGGCCAGAGAGTAAGAGGCCAGAGAGTAAGAGGCCAGAGAGCAAGAGGCCAGAGAGCAAGAGGCCAGAGAGCAAGAGGCCAGAGAGCAAGAGGCCAGAGAGCAAGAGGCCAGAGAGTAAGAGGCCAGAGAGTAAGAGGCCAGAGAGTGGGAGGCCAGAGAGTAAGAGGCCAGAGAGTAAGAGGCCAGAGAGTAAGAGGCCAGAGAGTAAGAGGCCAGAGAGTGGGAGGCCAGAGAGTAAGAGGCCAGAGAGTAAGAGGCCAGAGAGTAAGAGGCCAGAGAGTAAGAGGCCAGAGAGTAAGAGGCCAGAGAGTAAGAGGCCAGAGAGTAAGAGGCCAGAGAGTAAGAGGCCAGAGAGTAAGAGGCCAGAGAGTAAGAGGCCAGAGAGTAAGAGGCCAGAGAGTAAGAGGCCAGAGAGTAAGAGGCCAGAGAGTAAGAGGCCAGAGAGTAAGAGGCCAGAGAGTAAGAGGCCAGAGAGTAAGAGGCCAGAGAGTAAGAGGCCAGAGAGTAAGAGGCCAGAGAGTAAGAGGCCAGAGAGTAAGAGGCCAGAGAGTAAGAGGCCAGAGAGTAAGAGGCCAGAGAGTAAGAGGCCAGAGAGTAAGAGGCCAGAGAGTAAGAGGCCAGAGAGTAAGAGGCCAGAGAGTAAGAGGCCAGAGAGTAAGAGGCCAGAGAGTAAGAGGCCAGAGAGTAAGAGGCCAGAGAGTAAGAGGCCAGAGAGTAAGAGGCCAGAGAGTAAGAGGCCAGAGAGTAAGAGGCCAGAGAGTAAGAGGCCAGAGAGTAAGAGGCCAGAGAGTAAGAGGCCAGAGAGTAAGAGGCCAGAGAGTAAGAGGCCAGAGAGTAAGAGGCCAGAGAGCAAGAGGCCAGAGAGCAAGAGGCCAGAGAGCGGGAGGCCAGAGAGCGGGAGGCCAGAGAGCGGGAGGCCAGAGAGTAGGAGGCCAGAGAGTAAGAGGCCAGAGAGTAAGAGGCCAGAGAGTAAGAGGCCAGAGAGTAAGAGGCCAGAGAGTAAGAGGCCAGAGAGTAAGAGGCCAGAGAGTAAGAGGCCAGAGAGTAAGAGGCCAGAGAGTAAGAGGCCAGAGAGTAAGAGGCCAGAGATTGTAAAATGTGTGACCCGGACTGTGGTGCAGGTGTCTGTCCTGGAGGGGGCGCTGGACTGCTGGGTGTTCCTCAGTTGTCTGGAGGTTTTGCACAGAATCGAAGGCTGCTGTGACCAGGTGCAGCTAGCGGCTAACTGCTCTCACACTGTGGGACTGTGGGCCTACGCTACGGACAAGGTACACAGTAATACTACTATTATATTATATATTATACTACTATTATATTATATATTATACTACTATTATATTATATATTATACTACTATTATATTATATATTATACTACTATTATATTATATATTATACTACTATTATATTATATATTATACTACTATTATAATAGTAATAACTACAGTAATAACTACTACCGTAATAACTACTACAGTAATAACTACTACAGTAATAACTACTACAGTAATAACTACTACAGTAATAACTACAGTAATAACTACTACAGTAATAATTACAGTAATAACTACTACAGTAATAACTACTACAGTAATAACTACTACAGTAATAACTACTACAGTAATAACTACAGTAATAACTACTACAGTAATAACTACTACAGTAATAACTACTAGGAGAAAGGAGAAACAGAACCGCTTCCGCAGTGGAAGTATGTAGACGTGTTCCTTGGTGCTCCGCTGCTTGCTTCGCTTTGTAATCTCTTTTAATCGCTTTATTTACATTTTTATTCTACAAAACACGGATTACTCCTTCTGCAGACTTCAGCTTTGTGAAATTTGTCAACATTAATCATGTCCGGACGGAAGAAACGAAGACAAATCTGCGATGGCTGCTGCTCTCTGGAAAATGAGCTCAAATTTCTTCAAAAACGGATGGATATTTTGGAAACAGAAATGGGACTTAACCCGACTCTTCCAATGTGTGAAAATGGAATGAATGGACAGACTGGAAATGTAAGTTATGATGACGTAATTACTTTTCCCAAAATCAACAAAGAGAACTATTGGAATAAATGCGGCGCTAAACCCAAAGTTGACAAAGCTAAGAATGACAATGGGAGTGGAATTCTGCCACGAAATGTTTGCAAAACTTCAAATCGTTATGCTGCTCTGTTTGAAGAAGCAAAGCTACAGTCTGTTTCTCCCCCTCCGTCAAGGCCACGGTGTTTGCTGCTTGGAGATTCTGCCATTCGGAATGTATCTTTGAACTTTGTACAGACTTGTTCTGTGCACTCGGCCAGAGTGTCTGAGATAAGAGCTTTGGTGCCAAAAGTTTTATCTCAAACCAAGGATGTAAGTACATTGTTGATACACACAGGGGCAGTAGACATTTATGAGAAATCCACCGAGAAGTTGAGAAGAGATGTTTCTCTGCTGCTGGATGACCTTAAAAAAATGGAGTTAAACGTGCTAATCAGTGGTCCCATTCCAAATGCAGATGGAAAAATCGAGAAGTTTAGCCGTCTGTACCAGTTAAATTCATTTCTACACAATGAGTGTTCACGCAGAGGACTTGGATTCATTGAAAACTTCAATCTGTTCTGGAATAGGCTCGAGCTCTTTGAAGGGAAAGGCCCACATCTGAACAAATACGGAGTAAAAGTGTTGATGGATAACTTTGCATCTGCCTTAAGACCTCAGCCTGCGCAGCGCGTTCAGCCGTTGAAAGAGAGGAGGATACAAAGGGCGAGACCCTCACGGAACCCAGAGGTCTCGGGACCTCCACCGCCTCAAAAAAACTCAACACGTCCACCAGCATCATCATCAGCAAAGGATCCAGCACCAGCAGCAGCAGTGGCTGCCACAGCATCAGCACCACCAGCACCAGCTGTGGCTGCTGCATCATCTTCAGCAGCACCTTCCCCACCTACAGCTCCCGTGAAGCCCCCCCCATTGCTCCAGGCTACAGACAGGCCTGCACTGGGGGCCTCTCAACCACCTCCGTCTCCACCAAAGACTCCCTCATCACCTTCCATGGACCCGGTTTGGGTCCCCCCCGCTACATCCACTCCATCTAAGGAACATGAGGACGACCTTTCCCTGTGTTTTCCATCACTATTGGATTTACCGGAACACTCTGCAGGCATGATAAGATCGGCGATGAAGAATATTCCTCTCACACCCACTGTAGCCAGATCAAGGGTCCTATCTAACATTCATAACTTCTCCCCATACGTACCTCCAAAGCCACCTAGGGCGTCCAACTCAAATTCTCCCACAAAATCCACCTGTCCCTCAAATTCTAACTCGAATTCACCCGCAAAATCCACAAGTCTCTCCCCTAACCCCAAAACCCCAACCATTCCACCCCCACCCCCCCCCTCGTTTCCCATCACCAAGAACCCCTCCACCTCCACTCCCCCCTCGTCTATCTCCCAACTCCTGCCCCTCCCCTAACACCCATCCACCTCCAACCCCCCCTCGTCCAACACCCAAGAACCACCCACCTCTCCATCCTCCTCCCTCCTCTCCCTAGGATGCACAGGGTCTCTGCTTCGCAGCCACTGGCAGTCTAGTTAGAGGAGAGACCCGGCTGGGGCCCTGTCATGAAGCCACCTGTGCCATTCCCTTAGTGATAACACAAAGAATACATTACAGAAAGACATCTGGAGTTAATCAGTCTAATTTGGAAAATCTAATTCTTGTTCCGTGTAAGAATCAGCCGACCACAACCGCTGATACTGAAACTTTTAAACTTGCTATGCTAAATGTCAGATCTCTTTCTAACAAGTCTTTTTTTAATCAATAATTTTATTTGTTCTTATAATCTTGATCTTATGTTCATGGCTGAAACTTGGCTTGACCAAAATACAGAAAATGCAGTTTTAATAGAAGCATCACCACCAAATTTCAAATTTGAATCTGAAATACGGGAAAGCAAAAAAGGAGGAGGCTTAGCTGCCATTTTTAGAGACCACTTTGTCTCCCATAGAATGTCTCTTGGGAAGTTTCCGTCTTTTGAATATGTGTCTTTTAAAATACAACAAAAACAATCTCCTCCAATACTCTTCATAGTTCTATACAAGCCACCGCAGTCATGTCACAGTTTTATTGATAATTTTACCGAGTTGCTTTCAGTTGTATGCACAGATTTTGATAGTTTAGTTATTACAGGTGATTTTAATATTCATGTGGATAATGTTGATGACAGAAATGCAAAAGAGCTGAGTTCTTTACTTGATACCTTTGGTCTCACTCAGCATGTGAGTGGCCCCACCCACAGCAGAGGGCACACTCTAGACCTGTTAGTTACAAAGGGGGTGAACATTTCTAATGTAAACGTGGTCGATGTTGCTCTTTCGGATCATTTCTGTGTATTTTTTGACATGTGTTTCACTAACAAACCACCAGTGGACTCTGCAACTGTTCGAAGAAGACACATAAATGAAAATACGAGTGAACTATTTATGGGAATGATAAACTTTGAAAATGTATCGTATTCTACTGTAGATGAACTGTTTAACTCTGTCACCTCTAGTGTTTTGAATGTTCTGGATACCGTTGCCCCTGTGAAGGTTAAAATAGTGAAAAATAAGCAGAAGGCGCCGTGGGCTAAAGCAGACTCCAACCTCCAGGTTGATTACTAGATCTTCAAAGATAAGTTGTGCGAATTTAACCGGGTGCTACGTAGTACGAGAGAAAGGTATTTTTCTGAAATGATTGAAGGCTGCAGCAACAATCTGCGTGTTCTGTTTTCAACAGTTAATAGATTAACAAACCCCCCTGTTCAAATGCCATTAGAGCTAACTTCCAAACGTAAATGCAATGAGTTTGCACACTTTTTCAATGACAAGGTTCAAGGCATCAAAAACGCCATTGTCTCCAATCCACAGATAACCATCCAACAGCCAGAAAGGCTCTCTGAGCTAACTCACTTTGCACCTGTACATGATAAAAATGTCCAAGAAATAATCTCCAGTTTGAGCTCCTCCACATGCAGCTTGGATGTACTACCCACTAGATTTCTGAAGTCTGTTCTGGGCAGTCTGTTACCTTCACTCACACAGATAGTAAGTAAGTAAGTAAGTAAGCTTTATTTATATACCGCCTTTCACAGACCAGAGTCACAAAGCGGTTTACAATTGTTATTTTTTGAGCACTTGTCCTCTCACTCCACACAGAGATGGGAGCGGGGTCGCCGAACAGGAGGCGCATGCCAGACCTATTGTACATATTTTTAGTGGCAGGGGAAACCGGAGTACCCGGAGGAAACCTACGCAGATAGTAAACATGTCCCTTCATTCTGGAATATTCCCTTATTGGAAAAGCCCCCCGCAGAGCCAGAGACGCAGACCGCCCTGGCTTCCCAGACCCTGTGTGGCGGCTGATCCCACGAACTGATTTGAGGTCAGACTGCACTAATAGACCATTAATAAAGTTCAACAGAGATGGGAGTCGTTTTGCTAGCTAGTCATTTTGTCCGCGGCCCTCAGTTTGGGGGCTTGTCTTCAATTACAGACCACACAACTGATTCAGCGCCCTTTGACACATGTTTGTAACCCTCCCCTCGGTCCATGCTAATAATCCAACCAAGCAACATAAAAAAAAACTCAATCAATATCATGTTTTATGTATTTTTTAAAAGAGAGGAAAGTTGATGATTACAGTATATAACTCCTGTCCCTATATGTACAGTATATAACTCCTGTCCTATATGTACAGTATATAACTCCTGCTCTATACGTACAGTATATAACTCCTGTCTATATGTACAGTATATAACTCCTGTCCTATATGAACAGTATATAACTCCTGTCCTATATGTACAGTATATAACTCCTGTCCTATATGTACAGTATATAACTCCTGCTCCTATATGTACAGTATATAACTCCTGTCTATATGTACAGTATATAACTCCTGTCCTATATGTACAGTATATAACTCCTGTCCTATATGTACAGTATATAACTCCTGTCTATATGTACAGTATATAACTCCTGTCCTATATGTACAGTATATAACTCCTGTCCTATATGTACAGTATATAACTCCTGTCCTATATGTACAGTATATAACTCCTGTCTATATGTACAGTATATAACTCCTGTCTATATGTACAGTATATAACTCCTGTCTATATGTACAGTATATAACTCCTGTCTATATGTACAGTATATAACTCCTGTCCTATATGTAAAGTATATAACTCCTGTCTATATGTACAGTATATAACTCCTGTCCTATATGTACAGTATATAACTCCTGCTCTATATGTACAGTATATAACTCCTGTCTATATGTACAGTATATAACTCCTGTCTATATGTACAGTATATAACTCCTGTCCTATATGTACAGTATATAACTCCTGTCTATATGTACAGTATATAACTCCTGTCCTATATGTACAGTATATAACTCCTGCTCTATATGTACAGTATATAACTCCTGTCCTATATGTACAGTATATAACTCCTGCTCTATATGTACAGTATATAACTCCTGTCTATATGTACAGTATATAACTCCTGTCTATATGTACAGTATATAACTCCTGTCCTATATGTACAGTATATAACTCCTGTCCTATATGTACAGTATATAACTCCTGTCCTATATGTACAGTATATAACTCCTGTCTATATGTACAGTATATAACTCCTGCTCTATACGTACAGTATATAACTCCTGTCTATATGTACAGTATATAACTCCTGTCCTATATGTACAGTATATAACTCCTGTCCTATATGTACAGTATATAACTCCTGTCCTATATGTACAGTATATAACTCCTGTCCTATATGTACAGTATATAACTCCTGTCCTATATGTACAGTATATAACTCCTGTCCTATATGTACAGTATATAACTCCTGTCCTATATGTACAGTATATACTCCTGTCTATAGTATATATAACTCTATATGTACAGTCCTGTCCTATATGTACAGTATATAACTCCTGTCCTATATGTACAGTATATAACTCCTGTCCTATATACAGTATATAACTCCTGTCCTATATGTAACTCCTGTCCCAGTATATAACTCCTGTCCTATATGTACAGTATATAACTCCTGTCCTATATGTACAGTATATAACTCCTGTCCTATATGTACTATATGTCCTATATGTACAGTATATAACTCCTGTCCTATATGTACAGTATATAACTCCTGTCCTATATGTACAGTATATAATCACTCCTGTCCTATATGTACCAGTATCATAAACTCCTGTCCTATATGTACAGTATATAACTCTGTCCTATATGTACAGTATATAACTCCTGTCTATATGTACAGTATATAACTCCTGTCTATATGTACAGTATATAACTCCTGTCCTATATGTACAGTATATAACTCCTGTCCTATATGTACAGTATATAACTCCTGTCCTATATGTACAGTATATAACTCCTGTCCTATATGTACAGTATAATAACTCCAGTCCTATATGTACAGTATTATAACTCTGCTCTATATGTACAGTATATAACTCCTGTCCTATATGTACAGTATATAGAACTCCTGTCTATATGTACAGTATATAACTCCTGTCTATATGTACAGTAATAAACTTGTCCTATATGTACAGTATATAACTCTGTCCTATATGTACAGTATATAACTCTGTCCTATATGTACAGTATATAACTCTGTCCTATATGTACAGTATATAACTCCTGTCCTATATGTACAGTATATAACTCTGTCCTATATGTACAGTATATAACTCCTGTCCTATATGTACAGTATATAACTCTGTCCTATATGTACAGTATATAACTCTGTCCTATATGTACAGTATATAACTCTGTCCTATATGTACAGTATATAACTCCTGTCCTATATGTACAGTATATAACTCCTGTCCTATATGTACAGTATATAACTCCTGTCCTATATGTACAGTATATAACTCTGTCCTATATGTACAGTATATAACTCCTGTCCTATATGTACAGTATATAACTCTGTCCTATATGTACAGTATATAACTCTGTCCTATATGTACAGTATATAACTCCTGTCCTATATGTACAGTATATAACTCTGTCCTATATGTACAGTATATAACTCTGTCCTATATGTACAGTATATAACTCTGTCCTATATGTACAGTATATAACTCCTGTCCTATATGTACAGTATATAACTCCTGTCCTATATGTACAGTATATAACTCCTGTCCTATATGTACAGTATATAACTCCTGTCCTATATGTACAGTATATAACTCCTGTCCTATATGTACAGTATATAACTCCTGTCTATATGTACAGTATATAACTCCTGCTCTATATGTACAGTATATAACTCCTGCTCTATATGTACAGTATATAACTCCTGCTCTATATGTACAGTATATAACTCTGTCCTATATGTACAGTATATAACTCTGTCCTATATGTACAGTATATAACTCCTGTCCTATATGTACAGTATATAACTCCTGTCCTATATGTACAGTATATAACTCCTGCTCTATATGTACAGTATATAACTCCTGCTCTATATGTACAGTATATAACTCCTGTCTATATGTACAGTATATAACTCCTGTCCTATATGTACAGTATATAACTCCTGTCCTATATGTACAGTATATAACTCTGTCCTATATGTACAGTATATAACTCCTGTCCTATATGTACTGTATATAACTCCTGTCCTATATGTACAGTATATAACTCCTGCTCTATATGTACAGTATATAACTCCTGTCTATATGTACAGTATATAACTCCTATCTATATGTACAGTATATAACTCCTGCCTATATGTACAGTATATAACTCCTGTCCTATATGTACAGTATATAACTCTGTCCTATATGTACAGTATATAACTCTGTCCTATATGTACAGTATATAACTCTGTCCTATATGTACAGTATATAACTCTGTCCTATATGTACAGTATATAACTCTGTCCTATATGTACAGTATATAACTCCTGTCTATATGTACAGTATATAACTCCTGCTCTATATGTACAGTATATAACTCTGTCCTATATGTACAGTATATAACTCCTGTCCTATATGTACAGTATATAACTCTGTCCTATATGTACAGTATATAACTCCTGTCCTATATGTACAGTATATAACTCTGTCCTATATGTACAGTATATAACTCTGTCCTATATGCACAGTATATAAACTCTGTCCTATATGTACAGTATATAACTCTGTCCTATATGTACAGTATATAACTCCTGTCTATATGTACAGTATATAACTCCTGTCTATATGTACAGTATATAACTCCTGTCCTATATGTACAGTATATAACTCTGTCCTATATGTACAGTATATAACTCCTGCCCTATATGTACAGTATATAACTCCTGTCCTATATGTACAGTATATAACTCCTGTCCTATATGTACAGTATATAACTCTGTCCTATATGTACAGTATATAACTCCTGTTCTATATGTACAGTATATAACTCTGTCCTATATGTACAGTATATAACTCTGTCCTATATGTACAGTATATAACTCCTGTCCTATATGTACAGTATATAACTCCTATCTATATGTACAGTATATAACTCCTGCTCTATATGTACAGTATATAACTCTGTCCTATATGTACAGTATATAACTCCTGTCCTATATGTACAGTATATAACTCTGTCCTATATGTACAGTATATAACTCCTGTCTATATGTACAGTATATAACTCCTGCCCTATATGTACAGTATATAACTCTGTCCTATATGTACAGTATATAACTCCTGTCCTATATGTACAGTATATAACTCCTGTCCTATATGTACAGTATATAACTCTGTCCTATATGTACAGTATATAACTCTGTCCTATATGTACAGTATATAACTCTGTCCTATATGTACAGTTTATAACTCCTGTCCTATATGTACAGTATATAACTCCTGTCCTATATGTACAGTATATAACTCTGTCCTATATGTACAGTATATAACTCTGTCCTATATGTACAGTATATAACTCCTGTCCTATATGTACAGTATATAACTCCTGTCCTATATGTACAGTATATAACTCCTGCCCTATATGTACAGTATATAACTCCTGTCCTATATGTACAGTATATAACTCCTGTCCTATATGTACAGTATATAACTCTGTCCTATATGTACAGTATATAACTCTGTCCTATATGTACAGTATATAACTCCTGTCCTATATGTACAGTATGTAACTCCTGTCCTATATGTACAGTATATAACTCCTGTCCTATATGTACAGTATATAACTCCTGTCCTATATGTACAGTATATAACTCCTGTCCTATATGTACAGTATATAACTCCTGTCCTATATGTACAGTATATAACTCCTGTCCTATATGTACAGTATATAACTCCTGTCTATATGTAC